TTTAAATCAAAACAAACTTATGATGATTTCACATATTACTTAAAAGCAATGGCACATTTAAATTTTACATATAGAGTAGTTTGACTTATATCGTGATATATATATATATAACCTGAAAGGAAAAAAGATGTATCGTGAATGACAAGTCTTATATCTCCCAGCTCTAGTTTGACAAAAGGCAAATCTTGAGTTAAAAGGATAGGGGCTGGACTTTTCAGTTCTTAAGAAGTCTCTTGGAAGAAAGACGAAACATTTTCAAGACAAGAAGTCCAGTTACTTTCTTTTCAATTCATAATTATGTCCTTAATGATTGAGAATAGGGTTGTCACGGTAACCGGTGTAGTGGTAAACCCTGGTAAAAAAGTTGACAATAATAATGATCGTCTTGTTTTTAAAAAAATGTATTATCTCGGTGGATTACCATGGCTGCGGTGTAGGGGCGGTGACCCTTACCAGCCACCGTATCATCTGCTGAAGTTGCCGGTGGCACATGCGCACATTGTTATTTACAACCAAAACTTTCTTGAAGCTAAAGCTGAAATAATGGCCAAAGGAGGAGACGGCAGCGCTCAGGACATTAATTATCCCTCAAAGAAGACAAAGTGGGAAGTATGGGCATTTTTTGGATATTTGAAGAATGCCGAGGGACAGTTGATAGAAGATGGCTATCCTGTTTGCAGCACGTGCAGGAAAAAGTGTCTGTGAAAGGAAGCAACGCTTCAAATCTCATGACACATCTGCGTGACCATCACCCACCACTCTACAATCAATGCAAGGCAAGTTAACGTTGTAGCTAAAATGTGTGATCCGAGGATTTGGGTTGAGGGAGAATGCAACGAGTCACCATATAAAGCAGCTGCAGTGCACGCTATCTACATTTAAACCATGTCGCGGACGCCCCCATATTGAAATTACACTATGCCTTACGGGGCTCCAAGGGGCAGATAAGAGTTGGTCTCTCTCCAAGAATAATTATGAATTTAACAATTCAAGAGACTCATTCCCCCTAGCTCTCCAGCTTGTCACTCAGTGGTTTTGCTACAGGCTCTGATCCTGCTACCACACCATGCTTTGCTCCAGCTACAGGCTCTGCTCCTGCTACCAGAACAGGCTCTGCTCCTGCTACCACACCAGGCTCTGCTCCAGCAACAGGCTCTGCTCCTGCTACCAGACCAGGCCCGGCTACAGGCTCTGCTCCTGCTACCAGAAAAGGCTCTGCTCCTGCTACCACACCAGGCTCTGCTCCAGCAACAGGCTCTGCTCCTGCTACCAGACCAGGCTCTGCTCCAGCAACAGGCTCTGCTCCTGCTACCAGACCAGGCCCGGCTACAAGCTCAGCTCCTGCTACCAGACTAGGCCCTGCTCCAACCACCAGGCCAGGCCCGGCCTCCGGGCTGTGCACCGATCTCTGGGAGTCTACCGCTGGTGCATCTTGGTAAAGCATCAGGATAATAACTAAAGGGTGTGCTCCATAAAGAATTTAATAGCTCTTAAGCCTAACCCTAACCCTCATCTCATGTCTCATTCACACTAAGATCCATCCATTCACTTAGAATTTAGAGTTAATCTTGTTTAAAATTGTTTAGAAATAAATCTTAAATTTTAAAGGTGACTCGCTCTTCTGTTGTCTCTCAGCTAATACGAAGTGTTACATAGTCCCTGCAATAAAAAGTTCCAATCTTCTGGTTAAAAGTACCCAAAGATCCATAAGATTGATTTCATATTTACTATGGAATCTTACGTCTTATTAGGGCTGGGCGATATGACGATTTTAGACCGTTTTACGATCTACACATCTGACGGTCTGTCATTTTTGAGAGACCTTTTTAATCACAATTCACAGCTCTGCTGTTGAATTTCTGCCTCTAAATGAAAATTGAACTTACCTCAGGCGAATGACATGCCTTTGTTTGACCCTTAACCAATCAGAGTGAGTCATAGTAATATATTAGTGCCCCACTTGTTTTCACCTGTGTGTGAACAAACATGGCTTCGGCCACGGCTGAGCGACAACGAGGTTTTCGTTCCGAAGAGGAACGCAGGGTTTCCTTAGCGCGTAGCGCTAACAACTTAGCGATGTGACATGTCTTGGAGAAAGCGTAAAAACATGTTGGACGCTTCTTCTGAAGCAGGAAAATAACACTTCTTCTTAAGCAGAGCATGACATCGCCTCAGCTCGTTCACCCTCTGCTGAGCCGGACTGAGCTCGCCTCGGCCACTGGGTCGTTGGAGCTGCCCCGTGACTGCCTGATGGAAAACCAGTGGGTTTAATCAGACTCGTAGTTTCTTGTTTTTGCTGGGACCCCCTGTATTTTACCGCTCCCTCCAGCAGTCTTCCCCTATTACAATTTAAAATGATTCTGTAAATTCCGTGTATCAATAGAAACAATCTCTGCCTCTGCCAGCTGCAGTAAATGTAGTTTCCAAATAATAAGAGGTGCATTCATCTGTGTATCTCCTTTGATCCGCATTAGTGATATTTTCAGCACCAGAACAGTGAAGCATAGAAACATTCCTGAGTTTGTTAGTAATTTTATTTATTAGGTGCATCTAACCTGTTCTATTTTTCTCTGAAATGAGATCAAATCAGTGCTTCTATGGGTTGTCTCCAATCTGCACTGGAAAATTTTACTTTTCTTAGACTTGTTGCAGAAAATATTCAGAATGCGCAGTTTTTTGCTACCACAAGCGATCTCTGGTCCAGCCGCACAGCAGAGCCGTATTTGAGCTTAACTATCCACTACATGAGCAACTGGGAGCTACATAGTATTTTTAACAAGTTAATGTTTGCACAATACGTTTGCAATTGACATGTTTGCACTTTAAATATGTTTTCGATTTTAATTTATGTTAAGTTACTTGAAAAACGAGAAAAACTGATTTTTGTAATAGTTTCTCTCAGGGCTTTTATCATCTCTGGTGTGAGTTTAAAATATAAGCGTGTTAGCACTGTGCTGATTATCCCTAATATGAATAAATGTTTATTTATTCAATGTTTCTCTTCTTTAATATGCAATTGAAGTTATGCTATTCATGGATAAAAAATCGTGATAAAATCGAAATCGTGACAAAATATTGGAAAAATCGTGATATTCTATTTTTGCCATATCGCCCAGCCCTACGTCTTATGGTTCATTAAATAAATGTAAATTAACCCTTTACAATATACTAGTTAGCTGTATATACAGAGTCCTAGGATCGGATATGGATTAGTTTAAAACCTGTATAGAGAAAATGTACACAAAAATTGGCCAAAAGGATATTTTCATCTGTGGGGACTTTAACATTGATCTCATGAAGTCAAAACTGCATAAACATACTGAAGATTTCTTAGACATGATGTATAGCTTATCCCTGTTCCAGAAGATCACACGACCAACAAGAATTACGGCACAATGTGCAACCTTGATTGACAATATTTTTACAATTTGTGTTGAAAAAAATATGGCAGGTGGCATACTAATAAATTATATTAGTGACCACTTACCTATATATGTATATTTTGACATCAGCAATGGAATTAAAGAAAGTAGGTGTCAAAGAAAATCAGGGAAATAGATATATAAGAGATTATGAACAGACGATTTAATTGCTGCATTTAAAGGGGAATTGATGTCCCAAGACTGGGATGTAGTCTATAGGGAAGATGACGTTGATATGGCATATAGTAAATTTATTGACATATTTAAGACACTTTACAATAAGAATTGTCCAGTCAAGGTCATTAATGGAAGTCATAAGTATAAAAATCTCCCATGGCTAACTAAAGGATTCCAAAATGCTTGTAAAAAGCAAAACAAGTCTTTATAGGAATTTTATTAAACTATGAACTAAGGAAGCTGAAATCAGATATAAAGTTTACAAAAGTAAATTAACTGAAATAATAAGAACTAGTATAAAAATTTATTACAGAAAAATCCTAAATGAAAATAAGAATAACTTAAAAGGTGTCTGAGATATACCGTACTAAACAAATTAAGTAATGGTGGGACAAAGAAAATGGTATACCCTGAATACTTTACTGATAATCAAAGTGATATTTATGATAAAATAAAAGTAGTTAATAGAATGAATGAATATTTTGTGAATGTAGGCCCAGAGCTACCAAGCCAAAAAAGACAGACAATAAGTGAACCACTGATAAAAAAAAAAAAAACTACCCTGACTCTAATCTTCCTCTCAGCAGTGGATGAGTTGGAAGTTAAATCAGTTGTTGATAAATGTAACAACAAAGTCTCCACTGATTGTGACGGTATTGATATGGTGTTGTTTAAAAGAGTTATTGATGTTATTCTAAAACCATTAACTTTTATATTTAACTTATCCTTCCAAACTGGTTTATTTCCTCAGAAAATGAAAGTAGCTAAAGTAATACCAATTTTTAAGCAAGGGAATAAACATCTATTTAACAACTACAGGCCAGTATCACTTCTTCCTCAATTTTCAAAAATCCTGGAAAAACTATTTAATATCAGACTAGAAAACGTTTTAAATAAACACGAAATACTAAACCATAGTCAGTACGGATTCAGAGAAAAGAGGACAACAGCACTTGCAATAATGGAAGCAACCAATGGAATAATTAATACATTAGATAAAGGTAAATATGCTATTGGAGAATCTGATTAGAAGGCTACTTGAGTACTGAGTATCATCTGATCTAATAGTTTTTAAAATGATGACATCCAACAGACAAAAAATAAAAAGTTATGGGCAACTATTTGTATTTTAAAGACTAAAGGGGAAAAATGTAAACAAATAAACAACATAATTACAAAATAACAAATTTTAGGCAACATATAGACACAAACTGAGGACAATATTTTCCTGATATACAGGGTTTATTTAGTTGTCTGAAAATGTAACACGTTTAAAAAATACTGCGATAATACCGAAAACCGTGATAATTTTGGTCACAATAACCGTGATGTTCAATTTTCACACCGTGACAACCCTAACTGAGATTATACATTAACATTTGAAGACAAACTTACAATTACACTTTGGGTTCTTGTGAGCATAGGAACGCTGTCATCTTGGATCACATCAGGTGGAGTTTCATTAAGGGTGATGGTATCTTCACTTTCAGATGATGACCCTAATTTTGTGAAGAAAAAAGAAGAATGATGTGAAGTGGTTAGCAATAACTTTTGGAATGTCTATTCCAGTGGAACTCTGTAAATCAAAACAAACTAAACATTTTTGACTAACAAAATATAGTAGGCGTCCCATTCAAGGCTAACTTACTACAGTTACATTTATTAAAAATGCATGTAATAACTGAGTTGGGATGGAAACAAATATTAAACCTCAGTACGACAGTAGCAGCAAGGCAAGTATGGTTTGGCGCAGTGCTTAATTTGAGCCGGATCTTGCCAGAACAACATCCGGGAACTGTCTTATTTTGAAAGGACCATTTGAGCAACGGTCTGCTAGGATCCGGCAACTCACGCGACCAACTTGTGCTATACACAGGGTTCGAATTACTGGTGAGCTAAAGGGATCTCAGCTCACCCCAAAGGATGGCTCCCCTGGCAGCCCTCTGCTTTCACACCCTGTACAACCGCCCCAAAACGATCCTGGTTCTACTTATATTACATTATTCATGTGGACTCTCCGGGGATTATTTAGAGCTGAGTCGCAGAGCTCGTACGCGCTCCAGACAGATGTGTCCTGAGCACGGTCACAGTAACATTCTCAAAGTTTCGCCACCCCAAAAACCAAGTTAACATGTGATCGTTCATGTCGGCTCATATCCTTTAATTATTTCTGTCTTTTATTTGTGTCTGATGCGTTTCGCTGCTGCAGAGCGGAGTGCATCACCAGTTTTGTCCTCCGGTGACGCACCTTACCGGTGCGGCCGGTGCACACTCTGCTATTTTTGCGGTCCGTAGATCTTTTTAAACTACAGTTAATTTATGAGGTGAAAAACATGAAGACATGTAGCAGTTTTTCATTAGGATTGAGAGGAGATGCAGGAAGATAACAGAGACAGGACAGAAAAATAGTCAAATAAAAACAAGTTCATTTTTGTACCTGGTGGTTGCAACAAACAGACACAATTGCAAATAATCAGAAGTGAGGAACAGAAAATGAAATTATTCTTTCAATGTTTAGAGCAGCAGGAACTCTGAGGCTGCAGGAACACCAGAGAGATTGCGGCTGCTGCGCATGAAGAGGAGGGCTGAAGCAGGGGAACAGTAATGATGCAAAAACTACTGTTGTTGAAAGAAATGTGTTTTAACTTGAAAATGTGGGCGCAATTTTTAATTGTCAAAAACTCCAGCGAATCAACCGGAACAACCCCCCACCCCCACCCCCACCCTGTGCGTGCTACGACATCTGTTTTGCCTTTAGTGAAGTTTGGTGTGACGTCACTTTTTGCGTTCCGGGAACGTTTCATTTCCGAATTAAGCACTGGTTTGGTGCCAGGTCAACATGCAAAAAATCTTATCTATTTTACCACCCTCCTGTCCAACTAAAGAGCTACACCAAAACCTTCACTTAGATATTTTTTGTTACAGGCAGAAACAACATTCGAAACCCATCTTAAAAAACTCTACTCTGCTGGATTGTTATTTTAAATTGTTTTATTGCGATGTTATCTAGCCGTCAAATAGCACCAACCTTCATGTTCAGTTGATGATGCAACGTTAATGTTCTGTCCTGCTCCTCCTTTGTCTGCATTGCATAAGCCTTCTCAAAACTGCGCTCACATTTATCATGATGAGCTGTCAGTTTCTTCAAACGCTGAATGTGATGACTGTCTTCCTGGAAAAGAAAAGACAAAGACCTAACTGTTTCACCTTTTAAAAAACAAGTGTTTAAACAATTTACTAAGAGCTTATATTAGAACTTGGTTCCAGGTTCAGTCAACTTAATTCAGTTTATTTCTCCAGTGCTTATTCACAGCAAACGCCATCTAAAGGCACTTTACAGGACAGACATTTCTATATATTTGCTCAGTTCTAAAGTTTTCTATCCCAGACAACTGTTTAATTGCCCAGCAGTTGTGACCCTGACATGCGGATTCAGCCCAAGCAATCCCTCTCACTAAAAAGCATGAAGCAACAGTGGAGAGGGAAAAACTTCCTTTTAACAGGAAGAAACCTCCACCAGAACCATGCTCCGTACCAGCAGTCATCTGCCGAGACCGTCTGATGGTTGGAGGAGACAGAGCAGAGACACAGAAAGAATAACAGAACTGATGCAGGAGCAAAAGTTCACAAGTTGACAGGGAGAACATTCAACCACTGGAGCACCAGCCCAGTGAAGGCCCTCGTTCATTGAGGCATCCCGCTGAGCAGAGCACCAGATCAGGTTAGCAGTTGTAATAACAGCCAATAATGCAATTAAGGAATTGTAAAAGGGAAGAAAACGAGTCAGTGTCTTTCAACAGCATAGCCTAAAGCAGGAGCTATTAACAGTAATCTGTCTACCTGTAAGCTTTGTCAAAGAAGAGGATTTTCAGCCTACTTTTCAAGACAGACATGTTGTCTGCTTCACGAGCCAATCCTGGGAGCTGGTTCCATAGGAGAGGAGCCTGGTAGCTGAAAGATCTGCCACCCATTCTACTTTTAGAAATCCTAGGAACTACCAGTAAACCTGCAGTCTGAGAGCTAAGGGCACTGTTAAATTGAAAATGGCAGAAAGTCATACCATCTCAGCACACTTGAATCACAATTAGGACAGAAGTATAACCCCATATAACCTAGTTGCCTGCTGAGGAGGCAATTTAGCATATAATTCAGGTGTGTTGAAACTGGAACACAAACTTTGCAGAACACCGACCCTCGTGGATTGGAGTTTGACACCCCTGTCCTATCTGAACCATGTTAATAGCAATCCATGTTTAGGCTTAATCCCATGTGACATCCTTACCCCTTTGTGTAAGCCCTTAATACTTAAACTTATGATTGGCAGAAGTGTAATTTCAATCTAATCAGAACCAGCTTGAGGAAGAAAAAAAGACAGATGAGAATAAACACCAGTAGGAGTTTCAGTTAATTGCTAATGTTTATACTGTATGCAAAACACTTATTCTAATTATTTATTTAGGAATTGAGTCATAAAGAATTGATGGCAAATATTATGTAAGACTGAGAAAGCTTTGAGGTCCTCAAGGAGTAGTTAAAGGGCTATACAAATGCTGGCCATCTACCATTTTCAAATAAATTTCGAGAGACAGCAGGCTCAAATCGTGTCTGTGGCAGCCAGTCACGGACAGCCACGAGATTCCTGGAAGCCAGCCGCGGACAGCCACGAGCTTCCCAACCACCAGTTGCTGCAGCCACGAGATTTCAGCAGTCAGCCACGAGATTTCCAGCAGCCAGCCGCGGCAACCACGAGGTTTCCAATTCCAACGAGACCTAAAGCCTAATTCAAGCTTCCCCGTCTGCATCAGTGCGGAGACAAGCAACACCATTATCCGTCCTTGCGTAGGGCCCCTGGCAGGCACTCAAGTACGTACGGAGTTGAGCCCACTATTATAAACATCCATCCGTCAAGACGGAGAGCGCAAGCTTGTGATTGGTCAGGGCAGTGCTGTCGCTCACTACTACATAAATCAAAATGGAGTATTTGTCTCTGCTGCTGAATTATTTCAAAGAATCTAATCTGATTACTTATTTTATTACTATTCCTTATGGCAATGTAAAAAAATCAGAAATATTGGAAAACTTTCAATTCTCAAATTTCATTTCATCTTAATAGCAGATGTGGGTTTTTATTTTTTATTTTGGTTTATATTTTTTTTCTTATGTATTTCAGTTTTTATTTGTTAATTTCACTCCAATTATTTTATTAGTTTTTGAATGTTCTTTATAGATTATAACTTTTGTGAATTTGCTTGTACAACTTTTGTTTGTTCGATAAAGTTCTTTTAAAAAATCATGGCAATTATGTTATATCATGATACAGACAAATTATAATCACTCCAACTATAAAGTTATTTTACTGCAAAGCTTTTCACCTGCAGTGAAAACCCAGAAATTATATGTAAAACACTGAAAACTAGAGGTTACAACAACAGCTCAGAATTATATTATTTTCACTGGCACTGCACTGATTGATTTTTTTGTCTCTCTTATGTGGTTATGTTGCCTAAATGTCTGACTTTAAATTCAATATCAGTCTTTCGGATTTAATTACGTTAAAAAAAACTAGGCTGCCACGGGACTTAAAGTAGCAACTCTGGGAAAAATATATAAATCAACCCGTTGCAAGTGGCAATTGTTGCTAAAAAAAATTCTCGCTTCGTTGCAATTCTCGTGGCTCTCCATGGCTGGCTGCTGGAAATCTCGTGGCTGTTGCTGGAAATCCCGTGGCTGCTGCGACTGGCTGCTGAAAACCCCGTGGCTGTTGCTGGAAAACTTGTGGCTGTATGTGGCTGTTACCGGAAATATCATGGCTGCCGTGGCTGACAGCCAAAAATTTAGTGGCTATTGCTGGAAAACTCGTGGCCGTCCGTGGCTGTTACCGGAAATATCATGGCTGCTGCGACTGGCTGCCGGAAATCCCGTGCCTGTTGCTGGAAAACCCGTGGCTGGCCATGGCCGTTGCTGTTGCTGAAAATCCCATGGGTGTCTGCTGGAAATCTCGTGGCTGCTGTGACTGTCCGTGACAGGCTGCCACCACCATGATTTGAGCTCAGCCCTGCTGTAATTTTCTCAAAAATTCAAGGCATTTGTAGGGAAAGTCAGCATAAACCTGCTTATAGCTTAAGTAACCTACACAACACAGTATTTTATTTTTACTGACCTGTTACTTAAATATTCAAGCAAAATTCATTGCCCCACAAATTTGGATAAATTGCTTTGATTGGCTATCTTGACTAATTTGTGGGTCAGCAATCATTTATTTAAATTGGATGTTGCACTTACAAGTGAGGAGTAGGTTGGGAGGCCATCCGGGGTTCAATATTTTGCTTGGAGAAACTTCAGTATCTGACCTGGGAGACACAGACTCATCCAAGGAGGCACGCTGCACTTCATGAGCCGCAGCTCTCCCTGTTATACATTTAGTGTTAGTGTTAAGACAATTCTAACTTAATTTCCATTTGGATGCATGCTTTTCCTTTCATACCTTCACATTTAGATTCGTCATCAGATCCGGAACTCTGCTCACTCTCCTGTCAGTTACACAAAATATCAATCAGTAATCTGTTATAATGGAAAAAAAGAATTCAAATAATTGTTTTTATGGCTTCATTTCCAGTGTTGCAGTTCTGAATACAGTTTTGAAAAAATTTTTTTTTACTCAAACCCAGATCAAAATTTAATCATAGCCTACTCCTGAGTTGAGCTTGGAGCACACAAGATATGTACATATGTAGACGTTTCACAAGTGATTAACACCAAAGTAGTGAAATTTAAATTAACACATAACATATTATGAAATAAACCAAAAAAATTGTGTGACAATACAATTGTGAAAAACTTAAATAATGTAAAAAATAATTCCAATTAGTTTGAAATGTTTTACATTAAACTTTTATCTATTTCATGTTTTAGTTATTCAAAATTGAACACTTCAGTGTTCCACACAAAAGAAGCTCAGTTTGCTGCATATTATGCTGCATTACCACTGCATGCTTCATCTGGTGCAAAGCACCGTAGAGACGCAGCTGCACTTTAACCTCACAGACTTTACATAGAATCTGGTTGCTCCTGCCACTTTGGGCAGTGTGAACGCAGCATTTAGGAAATTAAGCAAAAACAGTATTTTTTAAACATGGAATAATTTTTATGAAGTTCAACATTTTAGATAATAAACAACATCAGATATACTAAGTAATTAAATTAAAAACTTTAGTAAGACAACACAGCCAGTTACCCACACAAATAACACAGCCAGTTACCCACAATACAAATATTCTTACTACAAGTTGTTTTAAGGCAACATATGATTAACTAGCAGCTTAATATAAGTAAAACTTACCATTTTACTTGGTTCTCCGCCGCATGTCTACTCTTCGTGAGGCACAGTGTGGGTCTGCCACTGCTACCGCTCTGCAGGTGTTCATGTTGAAAGGGAGCGCTCGATCTAAACTCGAGCGCACACCAGCGTGGCAGTCTCACTTAAATTCTTTTTCACATACCTTTTTGATTGTGCAGGAAGAAACCTAATCATTATTGTAGGTGAAACTAATTAGGGAGTTGTAAATGCTGACTACTGTTGACAGACTGATGCTCCTGTAATGGTTTTATAGCTTTATGTGTTCATGGAAGCCTGGCCAATACTGAAGGGGTGGATAAATTCAACGCCTCCTTTTCATTAGCCAGCAGTTAGCTAACAGCATGCTTTCACATGTGCAAGCAGAGTGGGGGATGGGCATGGTTATAGTGGGGACCTAAAATGTCCGGATCTGTGTTAAATGTATGAGCTTTGAAACCCAAAGCACCTCCAAATTTAATATTTCATAGCCATGACATTTGTTTAAATAGTTTTTTTTTAAATGTTTTCTTGAAATTATTACCTTAAATGAAATTAGAAATTAGAAAACTAAAAACATAAATATTTTGTAGGTGCATTTATTATGACATTTATGATTCAAAGTATGAATTGAAATTCTTACATTGTCCCACAACACCCCAACATGCCTTAAATAAAAAGAAACTAATATACAAAAAAAGAATAAAATAAAGAATTTTTTTCCTCCCTTTCTCTTAGTTTTGTCTGATCATTAAATGTATTTACAATGTGTGTGGTTTCGCTGTGTACTATAGAAACCTTAACCAGTATAGCAGTCTATTGTAAAAATGCAGCAACTCATTGCGTACTGTGCAAAATTATAATGACCAATAATAATTTCAGAGTAAATCATATATTAGTCAAATCACTACCAGCATGATACTATAAAAATTCACAATACTACATTAAAAGTTATAATGAAGGCCTACTTTTAGGAAATGACAGCAACCTGCTATTGTAAAATTTCACTGTATCATAATGTGGATGTTCAGAGTATTACCTGTAATGTAGGCCTACTAGAACTGTGCAGTGATATAACTGACATATACATATCATGTTTGGTGTATTTTCAGTATTAGAACTACAGGGAAAGTTGTCTGGATTTTTTGGCTTTTGGGTAAAGATGGATGGGGCCCCCATAACGTTACAGATAGCTGAAGAGCTTAGATGAAGCATAAAGGGTGGTTTCCACCGCCGCCATCTTAGCTACTAAAGATGGTGGAGGTGAGAGTGAGAACGTTAAGTGGGTGAGCGGACAGTTGACAACCATAGCAGTGAGCCGGTGGAACTAAACTGAGCTAACCCGGTGCTAACCTTGACCTAACAAGATTTGGCAGGCAATTTTAAGCAGAGAACCGCAACTCTGCTTCCTAAGCATAAACAAAAGAATATTAAATCAGGTTAATCATATTCATTATCTAGAGCATCTTTCCTTCGCAGGGTGGAAGTGTCAGCTGCTGGTTATCTCCAGCCAAGAAACGACCACAGTATTACTGTGACTGCGAGGCTTGGGCCTTGTGGAGCAGCAGGCGAGCCTCAGCCATCTACGGGGTAGCTGTTAGCCACGATAGCAACCAGCACTAGTGCTGACGTCTAAGCCACAACCCTAATTATTCATAATATCAAGATTAAATTACATCTAAATGGATGAGTTATAAAACAAATCACCTGACTCAGATTGGTCATGAAGGTAAACTGAATATGATTTTTTTAACAAGGCAGTAAAGATCTTTCTCCTGTGAAGTTAGCATGATTAACAATGGGAGTTTGTTCCTTTCTGCAGCCAGCCACCAGCCAATATGGGGGAACTGCAATTGTTGTCACTTCAACGGTAGGAACAGTCTTCAGAATCAGAGGTTGGGGCTTGGTACAGACCTGAATTCAGGGACTCGGATGGTCCCCGAAATGGCCCCAAAAACGATCTGGTTGGCTACAGTGGAGATACGCGAGTATGGGACGTTCTGGTCGAATTACCGGGAATTCCGATTGTGGAAACACACCTATTGTGTACATGACAGCAAGGGTCAGTGACGGCTCCTTTGTTAGCCCAACATTAAAGGAGGCATTGTTAAATATGTTTTTCTAAATAACGCTTAAACACTTGGAGCTAATAACTCAAGGTTTGAGTATGTTGTCAGGGAGGTTAGAGCCATCCCCTGTGCTAAGTTTAACCTAAGTGGGGTCAAAGGTTGCTGTATAGAGGCCAACATTTCACTTTTTTGTTCCAAATTACAAAATGGAGGGAAAATGATTAACTCTCAAACGCTTTGACCTAGGAATCTCAAAATAAATTCTGATCATCATGGGGGTTGAGCCATTCACTGTGCAAAATGTCAGAGTCACAGCACCTTAGGAAGTGTCAAAGGTCATAGGGGTCAACCAACAGAGGAAATGTGGCCTTTAGGCTTGCCTATTTCCAACACACACATGCCTTTCAGGCAAGGTAAGGCATTTTTTTGTATAGCACACCTTCAGCAACATGGCAATTCAAGGTGCTTTACACGATTCTTCATTTATACATTTGACATTGGGAGCTAACACGCAATAAAAAAAACAACAGCAACAATGTTACAACACAACAAGAGGGTTTTAATAATTGTGATATAGTGGAAATGGAGGAATTACAATATCTCGGATTGTTGATTTATGAAGCTTTGATACATGTGATTGATACAAAACTTATTTTATATATAGGGCTGGGGTTAACGATCATTTTTAAAATGATAATTCTGGCGATTATTTTATCCCGAATTTATACCAAAGTGCACACGAGCATCTCCACAGAAACACCCGTGACCGTGCCGTAGCGCGTGCCCTTCATGCGCACCTATTTAAAAGCCTCAATTTACATCAGAGCATGAAGTGAGTGTTGAGCGGGTTCCCTGCCATGGAATTCTCCATTGCTGCTCTTCTGTGGTTATACAATCAGTATTAAAGAACTCAATGGATTGATTTATTGAAATAAAACGAACGTGATGTGGGCCATTCCACTGAATGGGTGCCATTTCCATCCATTTCTGTCCCCATGAAATTATATGTCTAAATGTGCAGGAAAATAACTGGTAAATACATTTTGTTATTGTGCCAAAGGTCTTGCATAATGATCTGCGTGCAAATTTAATAAATATGATGGGCAGGATTAATAAAAACTACATTGGAAACACTGAACACACTTAGGCTCCTCATGAGGTTCTAAGGTGAACCCTATTTTCGTTTCATCTCGTTCCGACTGCTTGCATCTACATACTATTTGCTCATTAAAAATAAAAAAATTTGTACTGAGTTCAAAAGTAAAACTTTTTTCAGAATTTAGAAAAGAAAACATGGCTGTAATAGAGGGGAGTCACACTCAGTGGTTCACTGGGATGAAACCTTGACTGCCATATATACGGATGTCATTGCAGTTTCCTTACAATGTTCATTATGTCCTCTTTTTAAATGTTAAACGAGGTTCTTTTTGTCCCAAGCAAAAAGAACCTCATTAAAAAAAATTGAGATGTCATTGCAGGTTCAAATCCCCATCTTGGTTTTATACTTCTTGCCATACAGTGGTCAGTGTTCTAAGTTGGCAGTAGTTAGTTTTGACTGTATTAGAAGGCATAAAGCATTTGTTTGTTTTAGTGAATGAGAAAAAATACTTAGAGCAACACAGCAGCTTGCTGTGTTATAGTAGGGAGGACGTAGTGATTTGTTGCTGTAGGTTTTAACTGAGCTGTTCTCCAGAAAGTGATTTTTGAGTCCAAACAACTTCCTCTCTGTCCATGGACATGAACGGTGCCCCCTTTCATAAAATGTCTGTGTATAGATTCAATTAATTTCCAATTCTCAAGAAATTAGACTGGCTCAGCCCTTTTAAAGACTTTTTCTAAATGTTTACCTTAATTAGATGACTGAAATTCAATGATGCAACACTGGGTCAGTAACAGTTCAATGTAAAAAATAAGGCTATATAAGTTAATAAGGCTGTCTGGACTTTAGTTCCTATTATCTTTTTAAAAGGGGCAAAATGTATCAAATGTATCAAACAACAAAAAAGCTCTTTTTATTTATAATGTTTTAAGAACTCACCAAGACCCACTGAAAAAGTTTCATGCGTTTTTGAGGTTTATTGACCATATATAAAAAGTTTAGGTTCACTGCTTATATTGAATTTTAAAATATTGATTTTATAATTATAAAATAGGATTTGTTTTATTCAAGTATATTTTACTCCAGTGCTTAGCTTTTATCTTGCAGTAAAATTTGTTTTGATGTCTATCATGAAAAATGGAAACCTAATCAAAAATGTATTGCTGTACTGCCATTCTCCTTCTGACCAGTAAATGGCACAATAGAGCAAATAAATATTAGCTGGCATTCCAATTCTGACCAGTAGATGGCACCACCGAGTGAAGAAACACATACACACTTCAAGAACACCAAAGCCGATGGGGACTGCAATATTGTGTGTTACCACTAGGGGCGCATGGCTACACACACACACTGATTTTGGTTTGAAAATGCTCACATGGGGACTTTAGAGAAATTTGCATATTACGTTTCTATGCACTGTTTTTAAGCTTCCTATGGGGTTGTGCCTGTGGGGACCTCAAAAAAGTCCCCATGGGGAAATGGGTCCCCATGAGCATGCAGACAGTCAGGCCAAGTTCCCCACGGGGTAGGTAAAACAAGTACACACACACACACACACACACACACACACACACACACACACACACACACACACACACACACACACACACACACACACACACACACACACACACACACACACACACACACACACACAAACACACAGCAAAATAAAATATTTTACTCACTGAGTGATGTGTATGCATTTATTTCTCATTATGACTTTTTCTTCACAACCTCGTTCATATTTTTGTTGACAATAAAGGCTTTTCTCAAGGTTAAAATAAGAATTTTTATTACGGACGACCTAGATTAGATTTTTTTGTGTTCTGATCAGTTTGCATCAGTTTACTGCTTATAGGTTGATCTAATTTCTGGGGTTCACTCACATGACATGGAAGTTGCGCAAAACTCACACGGGGAAGTGTTTTGCTCCAGTACAAAGCACAGCACAATGGATCAAAGCAATTATAAGGCAATAAATGGCCTGACACAGACATGCTATTGTAAAACAATACATCTCTATTTAGGTAAAGTTACATTGAAACAATTGACATAACTATCTCATGCTGCATACCTCATATTACACTGTAAACTAAATGGAAGCCTTAAAACTTTTATTTCAGGTTGGGTGGGAAAATTCAACATCAGAGATGAGCCTTCATCACAGACAGCATCACCCAAGGTTTCTGCCTCCTCAGTGCAGGGCTGCTCCCGTACCTTAGCTCTTTCCTCCCACTGGCGTGATGCTTCTGTTTGTGGCCTCTTGTTACACTTA